GAGCATCACTTGAAGACGGGAGGTGGAGGTTGCAGGGAGCCAAGATCGTCCCACTGCAGTCCAGACTGGGCAACAGAGAGAGAGACTCTGTCTCAAAACACACAAAAAAAAGACATTAATTATTAGGAAATGCAAATCAAAACCACAGTGAGATAACACTTCACATCCATAAGGAGGACTATTGTAACAAAATGAAAACAAGTGTTGGCAAGCATGTGGAGAAATTGGAACCCTAATACACTCTGATGTAAGTGTAAAATGGTGCAGCCACTGTGGAAAACAGCATGGCATTGCCATGAAAATTTAAAAATAGAGGCCAGGCGCGATGGCCCGCACCTGTAATCCCAGCACTTTGGGAGGCCGAGGTGGGTGGATCACCAGGTCAGGAGTTCAAGACCAGCCTGGCCAATGTGGTGAAAGCCCATCTCTACTAAAAATACAAAAATTAGCCAGGCATGGTGGCAGGCGCCTGTAGTCCCAGCTAATTGGAAGGCCGAGGCAGGAGAATCGTTTGAACCCAGAAGGCAGAGGTTGCAGTGAGCTGAGGTCGCGACACTGCACTCCAGTCTGGGTGGGTGACAGAGTGAGACTCTGTCTCAAAAAAAGAGAAAGAGAGAAAGAAAAAAAGAGGGAGGGAAGGAGGGAGGGCGGGAAGGAAAGAAGGAAGGAAGGAAGGAAGGAAGGAAGGAAGGAAGGAAGGAAGGAAGGAAGGAAGGAAGGCAGGCAGGCAGGAAGGTAGGAAGGAAGGAAGGAAAGAAGGAAGGAATGAAGGAAGGAAGGTAGGAAGGAAGGAAGGTCGGTCCTAGAGTAGTCAAACTCACAGGGAAAGAAAGTAGAATGGTGGTTGCCTTGAGCTGGGGGAAGGAGTGGGTGAAGGGGAGTTACTATTTAACAGATTCTGTGTTTCAATTTTACAAGATAAAAGAAATCCTGGAGATGCAAAGTGGTGATGGTTGTACAATGATACTTAATGCCACAGAGTTGTGCACTTAAAAATAATATAAATGGGGTCTCTCTCTCTCTCTCTCTCTCTCTCTCTCTCTCTCCTCTCCTCTCCTCTATCTCTCTCTTTCCCCAACCCCAGATTAAAAAAAAAAAGAGAGAGAGAGAAAGAAAAATAAAAAAAAAAAAATAATAATAATAATATACATGGGCTGGGCACAGTGGCTCATGCCTGCAATCCCAGCAATTTGGGAGGCCAAGGTGGCTGGATCACCTGAGGTCAGGAGTTCAAGACCAGCCTGACCAATATGGTGAAACCCTGCCTCCACTAAACATACAAAAATTAGCCAGTGTGGTGGCAGACGCCTGTAGTCCCAGCTACTCTGGAGGCTGAGACAGGAGAACTGATTGAACCCGGGAGGGAGGGGTTGCAGTGAGACAAGATCACAACACTGCACTGCAGCCTGCACAACAGTGGGGCTCCATCTCAAATAATAATAATAGTGGCCGGGCGCGGTGGCTCACACCTGTAATCCCAGCACTTTGGGAGGCCGAGGTGGGTGGATCACCTGAGGTCAAGAGTTCAAGACCAGCCTGGCCATCATGGTGAAACCCCATCTTAAAAAAAATAATAATAATAACATAAACGGTAAATTTTATATTATGTATATTTTACAATTTAAAAATTTTTAGAAGAAACTTTAACAAAACGAGACTGCTTAAAGCTGCATGTGACTATCTAAACAAAGTGGCTGGAATAAAAGGTAAAATAGGGGTCAGCCTATATCTGGAATTCCTATTCCTCTGCATGACGTTAGAGCTGATTTTCCCCCTTACAAAGGCCTGCAAAGCCACACCGATGCTTAGCATTCAGATAATGAGCATGTTTGGCTCAAAGTCTATACAAATAAAAGAAAACCACAGACAGGTCAGCATGATCCCCCCTGAAGGATGTACTGATATATTAAAATGGTCTTCTCAGTAAGATATAGTAGTTAGGCCCCACTCCTCGTCCAGGTCTGAGCAGGAAATAAGCTTTTGCGGAGAGGGCCCAATAGAAAGCTGGCTCCTGTTCTTTTTAAGTAATTTCCTTTTTTTTTTTTTTTTTTTTTTTCAAATAAAGATGGGGTTTCACCATGTTGGCCAGGCTGGTTTTGAACTCCCGACCTCAGGCTCCCAAAGTGCTAGGATTACACGTGTGAGCCACCACGCCCAGCTGGCTCCTGTTTTTGATGAACAGGGAAAGTGCCAACAAAGACGGAAGCCTGCACTTGGTATTACTGCATCCAGCTAGCATTACATCCTAGCCCCCAGCCTGCTCCTCTGGTTCTCCCTAGCACAGGAAAGGCAAGGGACAAGGACCCCACAGTACAAAGCCAGCCAGGAGGAAGAGCCATCACCCCCCACCATCCAATCTGGGGGAAGAATGTGCAGCCTGTAGGTAAAACGCTTCTCTCCCTGGGGCCAGGGCTAGGAGAAAGTGGCAGGGGTAGGGATGGGACTGATGGCATTTCTAGCTTTTCCTTCTTATCCATACTTAGTCAAATAAATGGGTATCTTAATCTTTTTTTGTTCTAACTGCCAAGTATTTAAGAATGATTAATTTGGTTCAACTATGCCACAGGGCTAGAAACATTTGACCCCAACAAAAGCCAGGAAGCCATTCTACAACAAAAACGCTGGGAACAATAAAACAGATTGCTACAAGGGGTAGTAAGCTCTCCGTCTCTGGAAGCATTCAAGCGATTCTCGTGACTCAGCCTCCCGAGAAACTGGGACTATAGGCTCACACCACCATGCCCGGCTAATTTTTGTGTTTTTAGTAGAGACGGGGTTTCACCATGTTGGCCAGGATGGTCTCAATCTCTTGACCTCATGATCCGCTTGCCTTGGCCTCCCAAAGTGCTGGGATTACAGGTGTGAGCCACTGCGCCTGGCCAATATTTTTTTTTTTTTTTTGAGACAGTTTCTCCTCGTTGCCCAGGCTGGAGTATAGTGGTGCCATCACAGCTCACTGCAACCCCTGCCTCCTGGGCTCAAGCAATCCTCCCGCTGCAGCCTCCTAAGTAGCTGGGACCACAGGCACGGGCCACCACGCCCGGCTAATTTTTAAAAATTTTTTGTAGAGGCCGGGCGCGGTGGCTCACGCCTGTAATCCCAGCACTTTGGGAGGCCGAGGCGGGTGGATCACGAGGTCAAGAGATCGAGACCATCCTGGTCAACATGGTGAAACCCCGTCTCTACTAAAAATACAAAACATTAGCTGGGCATGGTGGCGCGTGCCTGTAATCCCAGCTACTCAGGAGGCTGAGGCAGGAGAATTGCCCGAACTCAGGAGGCGGAGGTTGCGGTGAGCCGAGATCGCGCCATTGCACTCCAGCCTGGGTAACAAGAGCGAAACTCTGTCTCAAAAAAAAAAAAATTTTTTTTTGTAGAGATGGGGTTTTGCCATGTTGCCCAGGCTTGTCTGGAACACCCTGGCCTCCAGAGATCCACCCGCCTTGGCCTCCCAAAGTGCTGGGATTATTGGTGTGAGCCTCCACACCTGGCTAAACTTCTAAAATGTTTTATCAAATTAATACATGCACATGGCAAAGAAGTAATAAACAGCTTATAACACTGAGCAGTGGTCCCTTGTCCCACACCTTCCATTTCTACTCCTGCTTTCTAAGGCAGCTGCCTGACCCTTTCTGTTTCTAGCTCTTCTGCTGGTGCCCTCCTTAACTCTCAACAAGCTTATAGGGCTTTCTTTTTTTCCTGATAAAACAAGTTGCGACATTATCTCTCAATACCCTGCTATGGAAGGTTAAGATTTAGACCTAGAATGCAGGAATCTCCCTGACCACAACCCAGAAAGTGGTCAGCCAAAACTTAGCCAGGTGTGGTGGCGTGAGCCTGTCGTCCCAGCTACTCGGGAGGCTGAGTCAGGAGAATCACTTGAACCTGGAAGGCGGAGGTTGTAGTGAGCGAAGATCGTGCCACTGCACTCCAGCCTGGCGACAAAGTGAGACTCCGTTTCAAAAAAAAAAAGTTAAGTTTTTAAAAAATTCCACGGGGTTTTAAAATATATATATTAATCATTAATCATGCAGTTACTAAATAATAAGTTTTCAAAAGTAATTGACAACATGGGGAATATTACATTTATACATATAAACACACACACATATCTAGAAAAATGAAAGCAGCATACTAACGTGATCTCACAGTTTTCTCTAGGTAATAAAAATACTGGCGATAATTATTATTTTCACATTTTTCTGGAATTTTTCATGTTCTACAACAAACATGCTAATTTCAACAATCCCCAAATGGCAATTATTATTACCTTTAACATTAGGAAAAAATTAAAAGCGTGAGTAACTGCCCTAGATTAAACACAGCTAACTTCTCTGCAGCTCGTCCCTCCAGCTGTGGCAGGGTCCCCGCCCGCCTGCCCTGAGTCTGGGCTGGCAGCTGAGGATAAGCCACAGGGAGAACCGAGGGCCCTGGCCACCGGCCAGCACCATCGTCAGACATGTCAGCGAGGCCACCTCGGACCATCCCGATCTGATGGCAGCTGCATTCCTGATTCAGGCAAGACCAGCAGAAGAGCTGCCCAACTGACTGTATTTTTTGAATCTCAAGAAGATAAATGGTTATCGTTTTAAGCCACTAGTTTTTTGCTTTTTTTTTTTGAGACAGAGTTTCACTCTTGTCACCCAGGCTGGAGTACAATGGCGCAATCTCGGCTCACCGCAACCTCCACCTCCCAGATTCAAGCGATTCTCCTGCCTCAGCCTCCTGAGTAGCTGGGATTACAGGCACCGGCCACCACATCCAGCTAATTTTTGTATTTTTACTAGAGATGGGGTTTCACCATGTTGGCCAGGCTGGTCTCGAACTCCTGACCTCAGGTTATCCACCCGCCTCAGCCTCCCAAAGTGCTGGGATTACAGGTGTGAGCCACCGTGCCTGGCCTAAGCGACTCGTTTTGAGGCCACTTGTCACATAGCAATGAATACCTGACACAGTGAGTGTTGACACATCCCTTCCTTCCTCAGTGCCCACTGCCGTACCTGTCCAAGGTGTGCCCATGGCCTCTGGGCTCCACTCGCTCCACTTGCCTTGCCCGAACTCCTCCTGGGCGCGAAGCTGCACCACGTGCCTCAGGCCGCTCCAGGCGTCGTGGATGACACAGTGATGCTGGAGGTCCCTGACCTGAGGGCGGGGGCACAGTGACCCTGGGGAAGGGCCTAGGGTGGTGCTAAGCAGGCAGCTCCCTAGCGGGTTGGTGCCTTGGTCAGCCCTGTGCTTTGGCTGGCAGAGGCCTCCAGAGGCTCCCACCTCCCCGAAGGCTCCAATAGAGAGGGGGTTGCCCTCAGGGCCCATGGAAGCTGAATCCCAAAGTCTCTGCCCCACCCATGCACTATAGAATGGGACGAGCCACAACCCTTGATGTGTCTACAGCCCAAATCCCTTCCCACATTGCTCTCCTCGCTGACAGGCCTGGGAAGAAGAGACTGGCCTGGCATTGTCCTCCTCATTTAATAAATGAGACCACCAAGGCTCAGAAAGCTTAAAACATTTATCCAGGGCCACAAAGGTAGCCAATTGTGAAGCAGGACCTAGAGCCTATGGTTTTCTTTCTTTCTTTCTTTGAGGAGTCTCACTGTGTCGCCCAGGCTGGAGTGCAGTGGGTGATCTCTACCCACAACAACCTCCACCTCCTGGGTTCAAGCGATTCTCCTGTCTCGGCCCCCCGAGTAGCTGGGGTTACAGCATGTGCTACCACGCCTGGCTCATTTTTGTGTTTTTAGTAGAGACAGGGTTTCACCATGTTGGCCAGGCTGGTCTTCAATTCCTGACCTTGGGTGATGCGCCCACCTCAGCCTCCCGAAGTGTCAGGATTACAGGCCTGAGCCACTGCACCTGCCTCTAGTACCCTTTCTACTACGCTCAAGCATCTGGGAGCACCCTTCTGACCAGAAGTAAAACATAAATTTACCATCCATGTTGTGAATGTCTTTGATCGTTCAGCCCGATATCTGAGCTCAAACCGCAGTCTGTAGAAAGATGAGTTCCAGGAGTGGGGGTCTTGCCAGGTAACACTAAGCCAGCGGGGGTTTCTGGCCACAGCAGTGACTGTGATGTTGGCAGGAGGATCGGGCTGCACTGTGGGAAAAGGGAGCATGGATTTTATGCAGCAGCAAATACAGTGCGGGGAAGTCCAGGCAGGCTGAGATCCCAGCAGGCCCGGCCCCACCCAGCCCCGTTCACTCCCCATGCACAGCACCACAAGGGCCTGCTTCATCCCTGCCACACTTCCCGGCAAGCAACGCCCAAAATGCAGCAACCCACCAAACCCCTCCACCACCTCTTCCCTGCCCCTCCGAGAAGTCGATAAGGAGGATTACATTAAAAGAGAAGGAAACTGCTGGAGGGGGGAAGAGCTTACGTACAGATTCCACAACCCTGAAAGGTTTGAGCTTTGCTGAGCTTGCTCCCGACACTATTGGCGACGCACAGGGACACTATGTAGAAAGAGCTGTCTCCCTCCGGGACGGCCAGCTGGCAGGAGAACTTCTGGGACTCCTGGGAATACTGGCACAGCTCCTGGAAGTCTTTGGCCGGACTGTTATCACTGTTAGACACAAAACAAGGGCAGGGCTCGTCTGTCAGTTTCTGCACAGACTCAAGAGGGGAGAGAAGGGGGAAGTGGAATCTCAGCGCCAGAGTTTTGTTTGTTTGTTTGCTTGTTTTTGAGACAGAGTTTTGCTCTGTCGCCAGGCTGGAGTGTAGTGGCACAATCTCCGCTCACTGCAACTTCCGCCTCCTGGGTTCAAGCGATTCTCCTGCCTCAGCCTCCGAGTAGCTGGAACTATAGATGCGCACCACTGCACCCGGCTAATTTTCGTATTTTTAGTAGAGACAGGGTTTCCCCATGTTGGCCAGGATGGTCTCGATCTCTTGACCTCATGATCCACCCACCTCAGCCTCCCAAAGTACTGGGATTACAGGCGTGAGCCACTGCGTCTGGCCTTTTTTTTTTTTTTTTTTGAGATGGAGTCTCCCTCTGTCGCCCAGGCTGGAGTGCAATGGCGCAATCTCGGCTTACTGCAAACTTCACCTCCTCGGTTCAAGCGATTCTCCTGCCTCAGCCTCCAGAGCATGCCCAACTTATTTTTGTATTTTTGGTGGAGATGGGATTTCACCATGTTGCCCAGGCCGGTCTCGATCTCCTGATCTCAGGTGATCAGCCTGCCTTGGCCTCCCAAAGTGCTGGGATTACAGGCGTGAGCCACCATGCCTGGCCTTAATTTTTGTATTTTTAGTAGAGATGGGGTTTCACCATGTTGGCCAGGCTGGTCTTGAACCCTTGCCTCAGGTGATCCTCCCCCCTCCACCTCCTCCACTTCCCAAAGTGGTGGGATTACAGGCGTGAGCCAACGTGCCCAGCCGGTTCTGTTAAGATTGAGAAATAAATGTAAAATCCAGAGATGAAGAAACTAGGTGGATTTAGAAATATATATAAACATGTAGTGCCTGGTATAAGAGGTGAGAGGGGCTAGGCTGGAGGGCTCAGCCGGTCACTCTGGCCAGCTCCGGTCTCCCGCCAGGCCTGTGCTCTTGGCACTTTAGGGGATGTAGAAATGAATCAAGAGAGGCCCCATCCTGGCTTCAAGGCACTAACCAAAAAGATCTGTCAGCCAGACTCAGTGGCTCACGCTTGTAATCCCAGCACTTTGGGAGGTCAAGGTGGGTGGATCACAAGGTCAGGAGTTTGAGACCAGCTTGATCAACATGGTGAAACCCCATTTCTATTAAAAATACAAAAAATTAGCCGGGCATGGTGACACACACCTGTAATTCCAGCTACTCAGGAGGCCGAGGCAGGAGAGTTGCTTGAACCCAGGAGACAGAGGTTGCGGTGAGCCGAGATTGCACCATTGCACTCTAGCCTGGGCGACAGAGCAAGACTCTGTCTCAAAAAAAAAAAAAAAAAAAAAATCGGTCCTCAGATGACTAGACACCCAATAGAAATGCCACTCCAGACACACAAAAAGTGCCAGAGGGGTTCTGGCAGGTGAGTCCAGAAAAGAATGCTGGATGACTGAAGACATTCGAGGTGAGTCAGCCACTATCCCATCTGTCCTGGAAACCTGAAGCTTCACTCTCTTATGACACGCGTGGGCATGTGAGGCCACGTCAGCCACTCACTCTGTGGCTGGGGTGATGAGTCTCCCACCTTTGACTCAGGTTTGAACCCTGGGCTCCCACTGAGTCCAGCACATGAGACAAACTCAACCTTCCCAGGCTGAATTAAAGTCCCCTTCCTCCTTCCCCCAACACCACCCAAACTTCCACCCAGCCACACTGGGAAGGCAGGGTCAGCGACTGCTCTACGCGTGTGCCCAGGTGGGGTGAGAGGGCAGGACTGTCTTATTGGCCTGCATCTCTCCTAGTGCCTGGTCCAAGGCGGAGGCTGAGCTCACCCACGCCTGTGGAAGAAGGGGCGGGCAGTACTGCAGTTGGGCAAGAGTGTGAAAGCAGACACAACAGAGAAAAAGCAGAGCTCCCAGTGATCCCTTTCCAAGGGCCTGTCTCTTCCATGCCCTGCAGCACCCGGAGGGCTGGGTGGCACCTGAGTGGGTGCTGGGGCCCCTGAGGCTCTGGCAGCTCTTTCCTCACTTCAAAGATGCCCAGTGACCATGCTGACTCTTCAGAGCAGATGGAAGCAAAGGCCCGAGGCTGGTCCTGCCGGCGCTGCGACACCGCACCCTCTCCCACTCCCGACGTCAACATAGAAAGTATTCTAGTCGGTGGCTCACACCTGTAATCCCAGCACTTTTGGAGGCCAAGGCAGGCTGGTAACCTAAGGTCAGGAGTTTGAGACCAACCTGGCCACCACGGTGAAACTCCATCATTACTAAGAATACCATAATTACTGAGAATACAAAGATTAGCTGGGTGTGGTGGTGCACAGCGGTAGTCCAGCTACTCAGGAGGCTGAGGCAGGAGAATCGCTTAAGCCCTGGAGGCAGAGGTTGCAGTGAGCTGAGATGGCACCACGGCACTCCAGCCTGGGCGACAGAGCAAGACTCCCTCTCAAAAAAAAAAAAAGTATTCTGGTTGAAGTGTCAGAAATGACAGAGCTTTCCACGGGCTGGCCTGGGAAGCTGCCAGCCACCGTCTCTATCCTGCCTAATCTTGTCTATGGTACAAGCCTTTGAGGTACAAACCAAGGCGGATCCTTCACTGGGCTGTGAAGCGATCTGGGCTGGCGGCAGGAGCTACAGGGGTAATGGCAGCTGCATCATTTGCAGATGGGTAATCCGCACTTTTCAGCATAGAAGACAGAACAGAGCTGTAACCGCCAGGCTGCCCAGCAACTCCATGGAAACAGACCCAAGCGGGAGCCGAACCACCCCGTTGAAGTCACTGCTCTGGCTTTGTGATCCAGTAGTCCTGCCTTATCTGAGGTCTTGCTTTCTCAGATTTCAGTTACCTGTGATCAACCATGGTCCAAAAATATTAAATGGAAAATTCCAGAAGTTAGCACTTCAGAAGTTTTAAGCTGCCCACTGTTCTGAGAAGTGTGATGAAATTTCGTCCGTCCCACCCAGGACGTGAATCATCGCTTTGTTTGGCATTCCTCTGCTGTGCATGCTACCCATCGCTCGACCTGACATCCACCACCAGCATCACGGCTCGGTTATCCAGAGGGACCCAAAACAGGTGATCCTCCTTCTGACACATAGTCAGAAAGTCAGTAGCAGCCTAGCCGAGTCACAATGCCTACGCGTCTTTCGCCTCACTGCATCTCGTCATGCAGGCATTTCATGACCTTACATCATCACAAGAAGGGTGAGTACAGTAATAAGACATTTTGAGAAAGAGAGAGACCACATTCACATAACTTTTATTACAGTATGTTGTTGGCGTTGCTCTATGTTATTATTGTTAACCTCTTACGGCACCTAACTTATAAATTATCATTAGACGTATCTATAGAAAAACATAGGATAGGCCGGGCGCGGTGGCTCAAGCCTGTAATCCCAGCACTTTGGGAGGCCGAGGCGGGTGGATCACGAGGTCAAGAGATCGAGACCATCCTGGTCAACATGGTGAAACCCCGTCTCTACTAAAAATACAAAAAATTAGCTGGGCATGGTGGCGCGTGCCTGTAATCCCAGCGACTCAGGAGGCTGGGGCAGGAGAATTGCCTGAACCCGGGAGGCGGAGGTTGCGGTGAGCCAAGATCGCGCCA